TAATGAGAACAGCAAACAATAATGGACACAACTTTGTACCTTGTGGTAAGCCACCATTTGTTTTCTTCCAAGAGGACATAGAAGTTCCCACCCGGACACATTGTTCGCGATCGCAGAGGAAGGCTTTAATCCACCGAATTATAGAGGGATGGGTAGAAAGCAGGGTTAACTCTTTAATAATAACATTGTGGTCTACTAGGTCAAAACCTTTCTTGAAATCTGCAAAGAACAATCTGGCAGTACAGGAACCTCTCTCAAGAGCAACCAAGATTGAATGTAAAAGGTACACCAAAGCGTGGGTCGTTGATTTCTTTGGGAGTGCATATTGTTTGGTGTCAAGTTTATTTACAACTTCAGGAAAAAAATTGTCCAAAGTACAATCCTCCATAACTTTGGCGACCTGAGATGTTAAATATATTGGTCGTAGGTCGTCTTCAATACTCTTTGGGGGTGATACCTTAGGGACAGGCACTACAATAGATCTCTTCAATGCCTTTGGGAAGGTGCCTTGTGTCATGGATGAGTTGAAAATGTCTGAGATAACTGGGGCAAGCTCAAAGGCAAATGTTTTCAGGATTTTATTTGGAAACATGTCTGGACCCGGTGATTTTGTGGTTTTAATTTTACTAAGTTTCCTATAGATCTGTTGGGCGTCAACGAGGTAATGGTTTGGTACTTCTAAGGCCCTCCTGGATTTCGTCGAGAGTTAGAGGGTCAAAATGTGATGTAAGGGCAGTAAGAAAGTTATTAAAATTTTCGGCCAGTTCTTCACAATTCCGAACATCATCAGAAAATAGCTGAGAATACCAAGAATTTTTTGACGAGAGACCACCAATGGCTTTCACTTCTTTCCACCATCTTGCCGGGTTAGAATTTTTTAATTTCTCAACTGACCTCATATAGTAGATCTTTCGTGCAACTTTAATGCATGATTGGACTCTATTACGCCAATATTTATAAATATCTGAATTTTTCCCGCTTTCGTGTAAGGCTTTTTGGCGTCTCCCAATAGCAGACTTTATTGATGACGTCATCCAAGGCTTATCACACTTTCGTACTTTAATCCGTTCCAAGGGAAAGAATTTTTCAATCATCACAGTCATTGTATCGTTAAACTTTTCATATTTTGTATCACAGACATGTATGTCCAAGATAGGAGACCAGTCAAATGTAGTGATATATCGTCCAAAAGGCCGTATCCTGCTATCTCTGAGATCGCGTTTCCATATATGTGAATTGTCTGGCTTTGAGGGAGAAGGTTGGGCTTTCATAAGAATCGTATAATGATCACTGGTTCCAATGGGAGGGAGTTGGATTGATTCGTAAATATTATCCACCTTTGAGTTGGTTAAACACCAGTCTAAAATTACATCAGCTCTGGTAGCTACCTTGACTATCTGCGTCAGACCAGCAATTCTTTTAAGATGGTTTGCATCGAGACCCGTGCTTCTAAAATTGAAGTCGCCCGTAATTAGGACCAAAGCTTCAGGGTGGGAATATAAAAATGAGTCCACATTGGTTTGAATGTGTGAATACAATTCTACATTTTCAGTTTGGCGGGATGCTGTTGAATGGTAAACAACAGCCAGTAAGACAACCGAGACAGAGCGGGGTAGCTTCTTTGGTCTCACTGATAACCACAGTGATTCAATCGAAGAGTTTTCAAATTCCTCAATTCGTCTACAATAGATATTGCTATTTATGTAGGCACAAACACCTCCGCCGTTTGAAACCAGTCTATCGTTCCTAAACAGATTGAAATTGGACAAAGATACCAAATTGTCAGGAATTGCAGGAGATAACCAAGTCTCTGTAATGCAGACCATGTCCGTTTGGTTAAAAGACACCACAGCGTCAAGTTCGTCGACCTTGGACGTCAGGGAGCGGAGATTACAAATTAAAAGGTTTGGTATTTTAGTGGAGGGTAACGTCAACCAAACATGATTGGCTGATTTGTGGTCACGTGGCTTTAGATAAATGCTATGTATGCCACCGGGCAACAAGTGAAAAATTGTTGCCCAACCACGACCGGCTACGTACTACATAAAATAAACAAAATGGCGGTGCAAGTTTATAAACTATATGATTTTTCAAGTTCGTGTTAAAATAAAAAAATGTAAAAGAGAAGAAAAATACACAATACGATACTAAAACCGTTTCAGTAGGTTCTTTTCATTTTAAACTCGTTTACACAATAGAGTTTTTGCCATGAAATACAATTGCTGTATGAATGTTGTCGATTTTTCTTTCGTCGCTATAGATATAACAAATACTTAATGTCTGTCTCGACTTCGTCTAGGGAAACATTGGGACTCTCGGGAAAACAAAACTATAACTATTTCCATCGGGAGCAGAGATTGTATATAAAATGTTTATAGCAGTGAAAAAATGAGTGCAAAAATTTAATGCTTACCAGAGATTTTCGCTTAGATGGCTTGTCACTAGAAAAGAAAGGTAAATTGGGTCAGCGAAAACGGTACTCTATAGTAGCAAAAGTTTAAATAAATAATGTTAAAATTTATAATTAACTTGATACTTTTTGAATATATCCTATATAAGATACATGTGATCATATTGATTAAACCCTTATACTTGGAATTTTTTACACGAGTGTGGATCGCTTTTGGGTAGCGACTAGTGTGCCAAACCCAATCTGATTTGATTCGGTCAAAAGTTTACGTGTCCGGTTGGATCGGATTTTTTTGTTTTTCTGTCGGATCGAATCGAATTTATCCTTGATATTGCAATTTTGGACATAACTGCTCTAGAACACCTTTCCCTCTATAAAAAATCCGTATACCCATTATGATAAATTCCATGTTAAATCATGCTGCGCCTCTTAAGCCCTTGCTGCTCAAACTCAATGTTGAGCTCGTGTCATGGTAAGTTACCAAACGTTTTTTTTTGCGCTGATTGCAACATTGAACTGGGGGAGAGGGGGTGATGAAGTTTGTTTTGTAAATCTGCATTAACGTTGCAATATTCGCCAGAATGCTCTCAAGGGATACGTCCAAGACTGACTGGTATGTCGGATTTCGTTACTAAATGTCATTAAACTCGCCGAAAACAATTGATCTACCAGCTTACTTCGGCTTTTCCGTTTAGAAATGGTTTCACATGGTGGTTTAGTTATGAAAACACAATGACTCCATCAAACTTTCCTTCAACAATGAACAGTTAAAAAAAGATTGGATAGTCTTTTTATTACCAAATCTCAACGTAGTATCATTTGAAGAATGTTATAGTATGCTTTCCATGTATCTGTGCTGATGTTGTATGGATTATTCTTACGAAACAAAATTAAGACATCGGTTCTGATTTAATATTTATTCCCGAATTGGATCGGATTGGATTACCAGAGTTGTCAACAAGTCTTTTTTGGCAAGTCGAAGTCAAATCACAAGTTATTTTGCCATTGACCGAGTCAATTAAGTCGCAAGTGATTCTGTACTATTCTTATTACCATGAACTGGGGAGTCACCCATATATATTCATATATTATATATTACAACCTTTTGTGTATAGTTACGATATACAAATCTGGCCGTTATGCAGATTTTATTGCGATATACTAATCTGGCCGCACCAACCAATGTTTGACTTGCATTTGACGTATCATTTACGTTTGACTTGCGTTGGTAACAGGTTATTAGAGACCTTACAATTTTAGGACGGCAACGCCACGACAACGGCCAAAATGGCTCCTTCAAATAAATGGTATAGTAAAGATAAATCGTCGTATATTATCAATCGTATGAATTGAATACAGTCTTAGAAGTTGAAGACATGGGTTTTATGATTGGGAAGAGTTATATACCCAGTTTGAAGTTGCACTTATTGCAGGCTTGAAATGCAGCCGTTGTATCAAGACGTGAAAATCTGTGATTTGGCGTTGTAAACAGAGCGAGGACAATGTCTAAATTATTCATATATTGTAATTATTCAATTCTTTTCAATAATCTATTGTATTGGTAGCCGCGTTGCCGTCGCGTTACCGTCCTAAATCGTACGGTCTCTATTTCTTGCGACTGGAGACGTTGTATACGAACGTCGGTCAAATTTTTTTTCCAATTCTCTGATTGTGTTAAAAGATAAATACATACCTTGCAATACTGATCATCTTAGCAGGTCCTTTGCTTTTTAATGCCTCTTTCCAGTCATCGTCTTTGCCCGTAATTGCATATCTAGGAAATACAAGAAAAAAAAACATGTAAAATATTTTGCATGAATATTCTTTTTCCAACCACAACTGTTACGCGTTGGGAGAGTCTAAACCTAAGGTTTCTGGCTGACACGTCGAAAAATCCTTTGTAAGTATACTGAGTATCAGGCCCTGTCTACTCTTCCGTCGTAAATGCTAGTCGATGAAAGGGAAAAGAGGGCCTGTCACAAAATGTGTGAAATTGACATTAATAGAGTCTGGAAGTCAGGCTACAAGGTAGATACCTACGGCAATCATTGTACGTAAACGTTCACTTGTACCGAATAGACAAAAACTTACTGACTAAGATCCATTGATTTCAAAAGTTCTGTTTTTTCCTTTTGTTTCTCTTTTATCTCATCTGCCACTTCTTCCTGTAAATATATTGTTATAACACGGAGATTGAGAAATTTGAAATTTGTACACACAGGACTCGTTATTCTAATTTTTCAACACCTTTTAAAATATTAGTACAAATTAATTGACTTCATGGTTAATTTGTTTAAAGAGTTTCTCCACAACTTTAGCACTTTTGTATTGTTTTTGCTCCTTCGCTCGCTTAAAAAATTAGCGACGGTAAAAGCATGCTCGCACATCCGATAACACAATTAGGAAAATCTCGAAGCTCAGAAAATCCTTAATTGTTTGATTTCATCCTATTCTTGTTGGGTTTGTGGAGATTTTACAAAATCATCAAGTACATGAGCGAGAGCCAATGTTATTCGACGAACAATTCTGGAAACGTTAAGGCCGGCGCACACTAGAGCTATGTGCTTAGCAAAATGTCATTCGTGACTGTTGGCGTAAGGAGATAGCTCTCGTGTGCGGGCGATTTACGAACGACTTTTGTCATTCGTGCCACTTACGCCAAATATCTAACATGTTTGATAATTTCTGCCTCGCGTGCCAAAATCTTTCCGTGTGAGGCGAACGAAAGCTATCTGCTTACGGATTGTCGTAACAGCGCATGCGTAGTATACGAAAGTAAACATCCAAGATGGCGGCGCAAAATGAATTGCTGGCCGAGGCAATTTTAGAGGACAAACTTACTGGCTATTTCTTTCACCGTACATTCCCTTTTGTCCCTATTTCTAAAATCTGCAGAACTCACATCGTATAAACATTTATATTCAGGCCAAAGTTCGACAAGTTTGTCCTCTAAAATTGCCTGGGCCAGCAATTCATTTTGCGCCGCCATCTTGGATGTTTACTTTCGTATACTACGCATGCGCTGTTACGACAATCCGTAAGCAGATAGCTTTCGTTCGCCGCACACGGAAAGATTTTGGCACGCGAGGCAGAAATTATCAAACATGTTAGATATTTGGCGCTATTAACCGTGGCGTAAGTGGCACGAATGACAAAAGTCGTTCGTAAATCGCCCGCACACGAGAGCTATCTCCTTACGCCAACAGTCACGAATGACATTTTGCTAAGCACATAGCTCTAGTGTGCGCCGGCCTTTAGACTTGTCTGCCCCTGCAATGGTATCTCCAACAACTTGGTTGATCGCCAAAATAGGGAAGCTTCGGTTGGTTGACGGGCTAATTTCGTCTTCAACAAGTCGGACGATAGTCACGATTGCTTCTCTGCATGCCGAAACGATACCGTGCTCGCAAATCGCTGTCAGACTAATAGCATATAGGACGTTTTCGTCTGGTATGCATACTCGAGGTAAGTTATACAAGTGAAAGCCAGGGATTCGGTATAGCGCCATGTCGAAAATCATATAAATATATGAATTTGAGCTTTGTTATTGAAAGAGCAACATACAGGTTTTAACGCTATGAAGACCCAACGTTTTAAGTTTTATCCACGGGATAGTGGATTTAAACTACCTCTGCATGGACCTCGGATAAATGTACCCAACGGATAGTGCCTTTTTATCCGTTGGATAACGCTATCCACGCTTCATACAATGCGATTTTCATCTGGATAAAATTTATCCGCTGGATAGCGACTTATCCACGCACATGCATGATAGCCATTTATCCACCTTTCGTATACAACCGGCCCCAGAAGGAGCGGCATTAATGATAAAAATAAAGGTGCAAACTTTAGTTGTTTGGCTAGAAAAAAAGCTATGGAATATATGCATTTCTAGTATTTCTAGGTAATTCGCATGTGTCTATCTTTTGTATCTACTTTTTGTGTCATTTCCGGAAAATTCAGCCGCCGATTTTCGAAAAACGCCTAAGCCTAGGATAAATGAGAGTTTATCTTACCAATTCTTCATTCAAATCCTTAGCCAAAGGTTCCATGACTATCTCTTTGCCTTTCGACATTTCATTTTCAACTGCTGACTCCAGGATCTCGTTGAAATTCTAAAAATATAGTAACAATAGTTATGCAGCGGTATAGCAAGCTGCAGCAACGTTATTTTGATGTCAGTTCAACATTTTGGTGTTGCGCAGTTGATAGACGGCCAGCCAAAACCTGAAAATGTACACCCGAATTTGTTTGATGGCATTTTCTGTTACAAGCTTGTTACTGGCATTTTCGTAGACTATATATGCATTTATGAAGACAATATATCTTGATAATATGACTTGATAACCGAAAATTGGAAATAAATCTACTACCCCGAGCCAACGGCGCGGAGCGCCGTTCCGGGCGTAAGACCGGGGCGAGGGTACTAATTCCCCCCGGCTATTTACACCCGGGGAAAGGAAAGCACTAGCGAAGTGTAAAGTTCATCAAATATCGCGGGCGCGGTTCATGGGTGTATGGGTGGTCATCTCACTGATCTCAAAATATGGCTGTTTGCCAGGAGTGAAGAAAGTGAAAATTTCGAAAATATATGTAAGAAAGCTTGGAAAATCGTTTCGCATAACAAATTATCAAACTTTTCTTCAATTTTTAAAGGTAAACATTAATAAGAATTGATTTAATATGATAAATTTTAAAGTATAGCCTATAGGGCAAGTTTGTTTCAATTGTTTATGTATGACTTTGTATTAATATTTATAGACTTTGTTCTTGTTGTTCAAGTCTTTCCTATGGATTGTATACGAAAGTTTCATCAGTTAAATTAACTTTGGAAGTTCATGATAAAAAGGAAAGCAAATAGCGTTCTGTACGAATTAAATTTATTTCATTTCAAAGTGCGAGTAACAAGTTCAGCTCAAGTTATCGCGATCGCCAAAAAGCAGTTAATTTCAATTCACATTTAAAAACGTTTTACGTAAAGTTTCGTTTTCAATTTTACATTAAAATAAAGCTCATAGAAACCAAAATCATATACCTACTTTATATATTTTAGAAATTGATAGTTCTGTACTTAAAGTGTTCAAGTTTCATCTATTGTTTCCAGGTTTGAGGTTTGTACAAAAAAAATATTAAAAAATTATCGTGTTGCCATGACAAACATGACGTGAGCAACGCGAGCCTGCGTTCAATGTTGGCGTAATTACGAATACTTCATGTTGAAATAATGTTTGGAGAATATAGGCGAGGGGTTGTTACATGCATATATTTCTAGTAACAAAAATAAACATTTTGGGAAGTAGTACGATTTTCGTAGCCGATTTTGAGATTTTAACTTTATTGCGCTAATTTATGATAAAAGTTACTCTTTTGTCAACATTGA